TTGGTTTAATTGTAAATGATTTTATTAGTTCTATCTAGGGGTGGTTCGGTACAGTATATCTTATATTTTTTCTCATACCTTTGCCATACCAAAACTTTCGGTATGCAAAATTTGCATACCTTTACCTTACCGAAGTTTCGGTATACCGCATTTCGGTATACCGAAGTTTCGGTTCGGTAACGGTACGGTATCGGTAAATTACCGTGCATGTCTCCCAATACAGAAAATTATCATAGACTAACGAAATATACTAAATCGTTATTACTAGCGACATATTAAATCTATTATTAAAATGTTACGAAATACAATTAATAATCTATTGATGTCAAATCAATATTGAACAATAATTATTATTAGTATATTTAAGCAGTTCAACATACCACATATTAAAAAGTAACACATTCTCCTAAAATAACTTGAACAATATAGATATAATTAAATCAATAGTGATCTCTAACAAAAATAAATAAAACTATTCAAACAACATGGATATAAAATCATTTATAATTTTTTAAAAATTGAATAAGACTTTCGGACAAAGTTGTGTGTCTCGACTCGCTGAATCCCTATGTAGATACACTTGTCACATAAGTGTATATATCTTCACTCGTCAGCTACTTAGCGGCCCAACCATCACGACTTGCAAGCTCTTGGAACAAGATGGACTTGTTTCTTGACATTTGTACATTACTCATTAGTTATTTCAGGTTAGCGTAGTAGAAGCCTATAAGGTTATAGTGGGTTTGAGAAATTGGACCTTTATTTTTGTATTTTTGTATTTGTAACCAACTTAAATATTAATTTTGGGCTTCAAAATTGTAATGGATTTCTACAATATATTAGAATTAAAAGTAATTGTTGAGTAGGGAGTCGGTACGGTATTATACCGGTATACCGCGGTATTTGAAAACATGTACCGTTACCGTACCGAAATAGACCGGTACGGTATGATACCGTACCGAAAATGACGGTATACCAATATTTCGGTATTTTCCGGTATTTTTCGGTACGGTAAGTGCGGTATACCGATATTTCGGTATTTTTGCCCACCCCTAGTTCTATCACATTTCACATAATAAAAAAATTGACATTGAACGTGAATATACGAATAAGAAGTAATTAATAATTACACATTAATGACTAAAATAAAGATTTTAAAAAAATGTGACTAGTGAATATAGTAGTAACTAATTTATAGTAACTTATGTTCAAATTTTAAATTCAAGTGAAAATAGAATTATATTGTAGTAACTATTAGTCATATTTGTATAAATATATGTTATTTTAATAATATTTTTGTTAAACCCCCTTTAATTAATTGTGAAAATTAAAACTCCATGTGAGCATTTTAATTAGTACACTTGTATAGTGATCCCTTCGTGCTATTGAACTCGTCAACAATTATAAGGATAAAGGGTAGAGTTGAACTCTTGTGTATGATGGAAATGAGAAAAAAGTTGGGATAAGGGTCAGATAGGCCTCGAACTCGAAAAAAAATGTCAAATAAGGTCATATTTCGGATGCTCTGTCTGGCCGACGCCATTTGGGGCGGTTCCCGATGGAATTTTTTGATAAAATTTTTTGAGCATCTTCCTCATTAAGTCTAGTTTACCCATACCAAATTTCAGCTAAAAACTCAACCGGGAAGGTAGTCAAATGAGTTTTTGAAGATAACTGTGAAGTTAAACAACGCCGTACATTTCGGAAAATTATTTGACTAGCTCAACCATTGTTGATGGTGACTAGCTACGTACGTACTTCAGTCTACTTGATCGAGAGAGTAGTTCCTTGTTACGGAGTATATCATTGGTTTTTTTACTTCAATATAATCAATGTTGGTCAAATATTCAACAAAAGGCAACTCATTGTTCTTCATATACTACGTATACCGTATTGACTATTGAGGATCAGTTTTTATCTCATTGCCTAGTCAAAAAGTTCTTCTTTATTGTCTCAAAAGTCTTGAGTTGCAATGATCTTCTAAGGAAGCTAGAGGTAATACATTGACAAAATGTACTTCGTGTTGTTGTCTTTTTATTATTATTATTATTATTTGTTGAGTTTAATCCAACACGATATAGTAAATATATGTATAAGTGTGTATGAACAAACTATTTTTACGTGGAAACCCGAAAGGGAGAAAACCACGGGACTTTTTAGGCTAATGTCCAAGCCCTCTCATTCTCATTAGGACTCTCCTCACCATTACATAGTACAAGTATTGAAGCTCCCATTAATGGAGTTCTAAGCTATTCTAGTGAGAAGGAGGAAGAAGAAAAAGATCCCTAACATGTGGGAAAGCCCCATATTTATAGGGGTAAGGGAAAGGGGGAAACCTAACCTAATGGGCCAAGTAAGCCCAAAATGGGCCCAAAGGTCCGAAACATGCCTAATAGGCTGAAATGGACCTTGTCATTCGGGTTCCAAGCTGGGGCGATGCCTTGGGCTCCTGAACAGTAACAGATCGGGGTAATATACCTCAACACAAGTCCCCCAGTTTCTTGAGTAGTGAGCGTGTGAATCTGCTCGAGAAAGTATACTCTTGCTTACGCTCTTCCTCTGCCTTCTTTGCACATGACCCCGGCTTTCGGAGCAAAGGCTTAATTCAATGCCTTGGCCTGGGTGCGAGGGATTGGGGCGTTCGGCCCACGGATGCCCGACCCGACTTCCTTTGGACGTTCGACCCTTAGGAACTCGGCCTAGATGTGTCCTTGCTCTTGATGCACGACCCGGGTAGCAGACCTCGGAGTCGTCATACAGCGACAATCCTCGGCCTATTCCTAGAGACGTTCGACCTCCAGATGCTAGGTTGGGCTTCCTTGGACGTTCGGCCCCTTGACGGTCAGCCCGCTCGATCCCTCGTTGTTGGGGCTCTGGGATTTTCCTTCTGGATGCTCGGCCCGACATGTTTAGGAAGATTAGTCCCTAGAAACCCGACCCAACTTCCTTTGGACGTTCATCCCTAGAAACTCGGCCTAGACGTGTCTTTGCTTTTGATGCACGACCCGGTAGCAGACCTCGGAGTCGTCATACAGCAACAATCCTCGGCCTATTCCTAGAGACATTCGACCTCCAGTTGCTAGGTTGGGTCTCCTCGGGACATTTCTACCTCAACATGCTTAGCCTGGGCATGCTCGGTCTCAGGATGTGTTGCGCATCTCAAAGCCCTCGGCCTCTAGGGTGGAGAAGCTCGTCTCCCGACCCTCGGCCTCCGGCGTGAAAGATGTTCGTCCCCAGGCTTTGGCCTCCAGGTGATGGATGATCGTCCCTGAGCTCTGGCCTTCGGGTGATGGATGATCGTCCCCGGGCTTTGGGCTCCGGGTGATGGATGTTTGTCCCCGGGCCTAGGCCACTGGACGATAGATGATCGTCTTCGGGCCCTCGGTATCCGGGGTGAGAAGATGCTCGTCTCCAAGCCCTTGGCCTTTGGTGGTCTTCTTTTAGACGCTCGGCTTCTGGGGTGGAGGATGCTCGTCCCCGGGCCTAGGCCACTGGACGATAGATGATCGTCTTCGGGCCCTCGGCATCCGGGGTGAAAGATGCTCGTCCACGGCCCTTGTCTCTTGATGGTCTTCTTTAGATCCTCGGCCTCCGGGTGGAAGATGCTCGTCCCCGGGCCTAGGCCACTAGACGATAGATGATCGTCTTCGGGCCCTCGGCATCCGGGGTGAAAGATGCTCGTCCACGGCCCTTGGCTTTTGATGGTCTTCCTTAGATCCTCGGCCTCCGGGTGGAAGATGCTCATCCCCGGGCCTAGGCCACTGGACGATAGATGATTGTCTTCGGGCCCTCGGCATCCGGGGTGAAAGATGCTCGTCCACGGCCCTTGGCTTTTGATGGTCTTCTTTAGATCCTCGGCCTCCGGGTGGAAGATGCTCGTCCCCGGGCCTAGGCCACTGGACGATAGATGATCGTCTTCGGGCCCTCGGCATCCGGGGTGAAAGATGCTCGTCCACGGCCCTTGGCTCTTGATGGTCTTCTTTAGATCCTCGGCCTCCGGGTGGAAGATGCTCGTCCCCGGGCCTAGGCCACTGGACGATAGATGACCGTCTTCGGGCCCTCGGCATCCGGGGTGAAAGATGCTCGTCCCCGGGCCTAGGCCACTGGACGATAGATGATCGTCTTCGGGCCCTCGGCATCCGGGGTGAAAGATGCTCGTCCCCGGGCCTAGGCCACTGGACGATAGATGACCGTCTTCGGGCCCTCGGCATCCGGGGTGAAAGATGCTCGTCCCCGGGCCTAGGCCACTGGACGATAGATGATCGTCTTCGGGCCCTCGACATCCGGGGTGAAAGATGCTCGTCCACGACCCTTGGCTCTTGGGGTGGAAGATGTTCGTCTCCAAGCCCTTGGCCTTTGGTGGTCTTCTTTAGACGCTCAGCCTCTGAGGAGGAGATGATCGTCCACGGCCCTTGGCTCTTGGGGGTGGAAGATGCTCGTCTCCAAGCTCTTGATGCCAAGGTTCTTTTTTAGCATCATCTATTATCGGTCATCCCGATTATAATCTTTTATCTGCACAATGAACATGGTAACGCGGCCAAATGGCCAGACAATATGTATATGTGCACACCTCTTTTTTTTTTTTTTAATTTTGATTTGGGGCTCTTCCGGGTGTGACCCTCGGCTCGTCCCTTAATCATTAAAATGTCGGTGGAAGCTCATCCCCGAGCTTCGATCGGCCTTATTTAATTTTGGGATTTTTTTAACCAATGGTAATGAAAATAATAGTGAGAATACTATTATTAGCAATTAAATTAATTGTACCAATTTGGGATATGAGACTTAGCTTTTGGAGAAGGAGACGCTCGACCAGCTAGGAATTTTTTGAAGCTTGCTTTGGTTTCTTTTTGCAATTTTGACTTGGTCAAAATTTTAAGCATCCTTGCTCATCAAAAGTCTTCAATTACTCAGCTGCTCTTAACTTCAATTCCAAGTATACGTACGTCCAAGCTGAGCCAAGAGGGCTTCGGTTTATTGGAACTCCCCAACCTTGCCTTGGTCAAAACTCTTAAAGGAAATCAGGCTTATACTTGGTCCAAATCTCGCGGACGTGGCAGCTGAAATACGAAGCACACTTTTTTAGATAAGCTTGGCCCCAAGACGAACGTATTAAGGATGGCATCATCCGGAGACGAGCGTGGAGGCCTGCAACTTGCGGTATTAGGAGCGAGCGGCGGCCAGCCATAGGCCAGGTGGCGGTCAACCATAAGCCGAGCGGCGGCCTGCCGTAAGCCGCGGCGGCCAGCCATAGGCCGAGCGGCGGGGCTGGTCCAATGTTTCCTATGGCATCTGCTCGCCTGATCAGGAGGTTCGTCCTCACTATCATTGAGTTTTTCCCAATTCATTTTTTCAAGCCAGCACGTCCCCAGCATCCTCCCCCTTGGGCCCTCTGGGAGGAAGAGACGTCGACGTTCAGAGACAAGAACGGCAGCAAGGGTGGCTTCATCTCTGCGGACGTTCAGTGAAGATTTAGCTTCGGACGAGCGGTGAGTGAGTAGGAGCCGTGCTTCTCCCTTCCTCCCTCTTTCATTTGGAAGGGGATTGACCAGGTCAAAATAGAAAATTAATTAACCACCATACGGAGTACGTATGGAGTAGCTGCAAGCGCTGCAAGTATCATGTTAGTTCTGTACACCCAATCCCATCGCCATAACCAATTTAGTGTTTAAAGCTCATCAATGCTTTCCGAACCATTGAGGCGGAGTGCATTACTTCTCCTTGGTGTGGCCGTCCATACATACATATGAAGTATATGCTCTGTACGTTCACCCATTTTTTGGGCAATATATCTGACTTACTGCATGCTGCCACAAACCTGCAAGCTGGCAGCTTCCTCCCACGATCAAGGCTGGAAGAGTAGCAATGATCTTACAAGCTGTAGCAACAACCAGCCTCGGCTTCGAGCTTACAAGGTGCAGCTCGCGATCGAGGTGGTTACTGAACTGAGACGGTTTGAGGCCGAACGTCGCCACAGAAAACTGACTCTGAACTTGAAGCTACAGGGGTGAGCCAACCAGGGTGGTACATTGTAGTCGTTGATCGTCGGGCTGTGCCGGGTGTTGTGTTGAAATGGAAAGCAAATTGCACTGTGTGCTCCAGGGCTGTTAGTGTATCTCTAACCGAGCTACATTCACCGTCGGGCAGCATCTCGGAAGCCGGGCGGCGAGCAACATGGTGCCCAAGCTGGCCCCCGAAGTGTGGGAAACCGGGCGGCAATGGGGTCGTGCGGGCTCCGACCATAAGCCAAGCGGTGAGAGCAGTTGCTCTGGACGGGAACTGGACACTTCCTCCCCTGCTGCCGTTAAGGGATTAACCTGGGGTGATAAGAGCTGAGCAGGGATACGCGCCGGGCTGCAAACCAACGGCAGTTGAGCCGAGCGGCGTCGAGCACCGGCATGGCTGGGGAAAACCAGGCGGCCAGCCTATAAGGTGTCCTAACTTCCCTCGGGGTGCGTCTGAGAGGCCGAGTGGTAGCCTACGGCCGAGCGTCTGATCCCACTTGGTCACAGTAGTCAACCGTGGCCCACCTATCAAATCATTGTCTGCCTCCTTTGCAGATGATTGATCGGAGGAGCTTGATCGAATGCCCTTGGACCCCACAACATATATATTCTCCTTGCAACATGTCTTGGTAAGAATTCCTCCCGTCGTCCTCCGGCTTGCTTCGGATGGAGGCCCTTCGGAGAGCTTTGTCCGGTGTGGATAAACCTCACCGTGGTAGCCACGGCAGCGGGGACGGTGGCTCCGGCGACCCTGGACAAGACCACGAAAGAATCCAGTTCTGGGCTTCACAGCTTCTTGCTTCTTCCGATTATCTCTAGATCTGGGTGCTTCGAGCATTTTTGTTTTTGTTTTTTTTGTTTGAAATCAGTCATTTTCGTATGAATCTTTGCAGAACAACTGAAGAACACATGTAATCTTTTTGGACAGATTCCCACAGACGGCGCCAGTGTTGAGTTTAATCCAACACGATATAGTAAATATATGAGATAATTACCTTAGTTATAACTAAAACTTCTTCACTTTTCCAATCTATGACCTAACTAGTTTTTATACCAAAATAATACTAAAACTCATAATAATTAATCAAAATTCGGAATAAATAAATAAATAAATAATTTAGTTGGACAATTATACCCTTTAGATTATATCTATAAAAGCCTAAACCCCAGCTCTTTTCTCCGACCCTAGCCTCCATTCTCTTCTCCATAGGTCCTTGCAGCCGCACGTCACTGTCGGCGCCGCCCCATGGTCCGCTGTATGCCGCCGCCCATGGCCTGATGTCCGTCACCGTCCAGGAGCACGATCGCCGGCCACATATCCATCCAGTCGGTTGCTTGCCCGGCCACCCTAGCCATATGTTCACTGCAACCATCGTTATGGCCGACGCCACCAGCCCCGCCGCCGTCTCGATCCATGAGCGCCGCCTCCCGCCTCTGTCCCATGTGCCTACCTCAACCGCCGGAGTATTTCCAAAACCTAGTAGGAAGAATGGACAGTGTGGCGCAAGTGATGAATTTTGGTTACGATGGCTAATTTGTGCGGCGCTGGAGGAGTTTTAAGAGATGATGGGTTTGTGTTTTGTGACACATGAGCGAAATAGGGTTTTCAATTTGGTGAAGTGCCGAGTGCGGCACTGCTTTACTTTTTAATTTCTTTTCTATTTTTTCTTTTCATTCTCATTTTTGCTTTTTTTGCTTTTGAAATTAAGAGTTTCTAAAATTAGGGTTTGTGGGCATTAAATTGAGGCAGTGAATATGCGCAGTGAACATCATAATAGATATTGTTGGGTACGACAGTAAATATGATATACATATGTTGTACATGACAGTGAATGAATGCATTAATGAAGTTTGTTGTGCAGTGATTATGATCGGGAGTGCAGTAATTTCGACATGAAACCCAATATGCTTAATTAGACGTAAAATACTAAAATTATTAAAACTAAAAAAAAATTAAAAATAAACCTATAAATAATTTCCTAAAGTGAATGAGAAGAAATTTAATTTTAGGGGAAGTGCAGTGATTATTACCGGATGTGCAGTAAAGTCATGCATTAAATTTGTGCATTAACGGCAATATAAAGTGCAGTAATTTTAATTGGACAAAATTAGTGCAAAATGCACATATTTTAAATAAGGGTGTTTTTGTCATTCAACATTTAAATATAAACGAATTTCCTATTTATTTTTGGATTTTTGGTCATACAAAGGTATAAAAACTAGTTAGGTCATAGATCGAGAAACTCATTGAGTTTTAGTCATATTCTAGTAAATTTCCCTAAATATATGTATAAGTGTGTATGAACAAACTATTTTTACGTGGAAACCCGAAAGGGAGAAAACCACGGGACTTTTTAGGCTAATGTCCAAGCCCTCTCATTCTCATTAGGACTCTCCTCACCATTACATAGTACAAGTATTGAAGCTCCCATTAATGGAGTTCTAAGCTATTCTAGTGAGAAGGAGGAAGAAGAAAAAGATCCCTAACATGTGGGAAAGCCCCATATTTATAGGGGTAAGGGAAAGGGGGAAACCTAACCTAATGGGCCAAGTAAGCCCAAAATGGGCCCAAAGGTCCGAAACATGCCTAATAGGCTGAAATGGACCTTGTCATTCGGGTTCCAAGCTGGGGCGATGCCTTGGGCTCCTGAACAGTAACAGATCGGGGTAATATACCTCAACATTATTAATTACCGATGGTACCATGTATTAAGACCATGACCCAATTACGTAGTCCAGCCCATAGACAGGATCGGCTCTTGACGGGACCAGCCTAATTACAGGATTAGCCCATAGACGGGATCGACCATTAATGGGACCAGCCTAATTACAGGATTAGCCCATAAACGGGATTCATGGTTGAAAGCCGCTTAGCCCATTAGGAATTAGGCCCACGATAGGAACCCACAACCAGGCCGGGCTGGACAGCGGACCTCGAGCCTGGGCGGAGTTCTAGTGAGGCCAAGATATTCCTAGGGCTTACGTGGCAAGCTATCACTCATTGATAGATATTTGGCAACAGGCAGAACCGCAGAACTCATCCGGAGGACACCGACTAAAAAGGGAAAGCAATCGTGTGGGAGTCAAGCATCGAAGAGTTCTATTTCGAGCAAGAATATAGTTCATTAATTGAGCATTTATTGTATTAGATTCCTCCCATGATTCTACTTCATAATCTCTATAAATACTTGATGTAAACACCCTATGAAGGGGTTCCCCCCGAAATCAAACCCCCGATAAGATTCAGAACCGAGGCTAGACTATTGCTAGTTCTCCGGAATAAAGAGTAAACTGCCTTACGCTGCCATATTATTCTCATATCTACGTATATTTAGCTCTCGTAGTTGGATTTAACTCCATCAATTACTATATTTATAATATTTATATATTTATAATATTTATAATAATATATATACTTCCTCTATTTTTAGTAGGTGCAAAATTTTGAGTTCATGTGTATTTTTTTTTTAAAAGAAAAAGGGATTTTATTAATAGAAGAAGGAACAATATAGTGCGAGAAAGAAGTAAAAAGAAAAAAACAGTAAGAAAAGTAAAAGAGATGTGAAACTAGTCTCAAGGGAAATTTCTGGACTGAGATCTAGTGCTCATATTGTGACGCTTTTTATTCTTGTGAGATTTCCTGTAAAGTTTAAATTGTGTGTTCATATTATCTGTTGCTTTGGAGCAAGACAATTTGCTGTGGAGTAAATTGTCCGAGTTTACTAAAATTGCTTTGGAGCAAATTGCTGTGTTGAATTCACACATCCTTCTTTTGGGAAGTTCTCAAATTCTCCAAATAAGACTAAATGAAACTTTAATTGCAATAAGTAGTGACACCATTGAATTGATTGATTTGGTTAGTTTTATGATGTTTTTACTTTGACTGTAATTTGTTGGTATGGTCTGTTCTGATCTGGTCTGAACTGGTCTGGTCTCTTTGAATTTTTATAACTATCCAAGTCTGATATGGTCTGTTTGGTTTGGTTTAGGACAAATTACAGTCCAAGTAAAAACATCCATATTATTAGCTAAAAAAGTAAATATATAATTATTTTTTCAGCTAAAATATGTTATTAAACTACTATGTTTTTCTTTTTTAATAACCAACCGAATTTTTTTAAAAATATTATAACGAAGACAAACGCTTGAAGGAAGAAAATTAGAGAATAAAAAAAATAGAAAAAAAACACTATGGGAAGAAAGCACTAACAGCCGGCCACTCCAATCGATGATAACTCAATCAAAATATCCGATCCGCCCTTCATGGTTCCTCAAATGCAGGAAAATGATTACCAATCAGCTTTGCTAATTTCCTGCAAAATATTTTAATATTTTAATAAATATTAAAATATACTAGTATAATATACTCCGTATATTTTTTAATAATAGGAGTATATTTTATGCCCGCAAATGTAATTTTACATTTTCCAGTCACACTTCAGTTTTTTTTGTCAAACGGGTATACTCCATTTAGCTAATAGTTCAGATTCATCACATCATAATACAGTTTCAGACAATAGTTTCTAATTCATTCAATAACCCCCAATTCAGACTTCAGTCTCCAGTTGCAGCTCGTTATGCTAAACATAACCTAAGTAATATACAAAAATCAAAAGGTTGTGTTTTTAACTGGGTGTTTTTTGGAGAGCCGACCCTAGGGGAAACTCTATGCGGCCATCCCCAGCCTAATTCAAGATTTGATTTTTCAATCGTTTTCTTTTCAATCAGCAAAAAGTTTTGGAAGAAGGTGTCATTCTCTATGCAGTGAGAGATCGAATCAAAAGTTTTTCAATGCTTCCGCTCTTTTTTAATTTCCGTTTTCAAGGATTTTGGTCCGGTTTCTTTATTGGCCGAGAATTTTGTCCGCTTCAAGTGAGCTTGTGGTATGTTATTCTTCTAGCAATGTTTAGAGGTTGTATGTTTCTAATCAGTGTAACCAATATGGTGATTTTTCGTTGTTCATGGTTGGTAAAACTTGTTCAACCTTGTTGTTCTGATGTTTCAAATACTCGTCCACCACCTGAACCACCGCCTCACTCTGGGAAGAAGAAGATGATCAATTGGATCTCCTTTTCGGTGGCTGGTCAAACCGATGCTTCAGAAAATTTCTGCTTGAATGATCATCCTTTGTTGGTTGCTGGTCAAACCAATTCTCTCTTTCTGGTGGCCGGTGAAATCGGATCTTTTAGTTGTAATTTTTTATTTTCTCTTTGGAGTAGCAAGAAGAGCAGCAAGACTGTTAGATTAGACTACATTATTGCGGGGTTATCGATCTGGAAGGATTCATTGGATCTGTTCCGTTCTATACTTCCATGTCTCATCCCATTGTAGCTTTAAACTATTCATTCTCTTGTATCTTTGCTATCGTTTAATAAATAATTACTTATTTGATTAAAAAAAGTAAAAGGTCATAAGCTAATAAGGGCTTATTAGCAAACACTACTCCAAGTGCTTTTAACTTTTTAAAGTGATTTGGGGAAAAGTAATTAATAGTAAAAGCTGGTAGTGTTTGAGAAAAGGGTGATTTTGAAAAGTAAAAGTTGGTAGTGTGTGATAAAATAAATGTTTTTTGTGTAATAAAAAAAGTAAAAAACACTTTTGCACAAAAATTGAGAAAGTTTTTTTCAAGTAGAAGTTGTCACTTGAAAATACTTTTTTTAATTTTTTTGAGTGAAAATCTGAAAAGTGTTTTTAAACCAAAAGTTAAAAAACACTTGTTTTTGCGTTTGCAAATAAAGCCTAAAACACTACAGAATTACCCAACGAAATCTTCCATCAAAAAAAAAAAACAAATACCCAACGAAATCGTCGTTCTGCGACTTCCTCACTAAGCTTTCGTCTGCCCTACGCATTCCGGCGTCCCCATCGCCTCCCGCTGCAGGCGTCAATACATAGAAGATCCCGATTCAGGCACTTGAAGAGTTGGCGAGTTTCGTCTTCAGCCTTTAAGGCAGCGAGTCTGGCTTTGCAGAATTGAGGTGTCTCATTCTGACCCTTTTCAAAGAAATTTAATACGATAGTAATCTTGAATAAATCAAATTTTCAATTGAGTATTTAATTCCCAGAACATTTGATAAATTTATGCATCACGTTTACCGTAAATTTAAAACATGTACTAGAGTTAAAGAAGGTAATAAAGATAAGGTTTAAAGATCCACTTTAAACCTATTGAAGAAGAAGCAATTGAAGTTATTATCATATATGCATTACATTTTTGGCCCACACTAACTTAAAATGCTAGATCCGCTCCTGCGTACCTCCCACATTTTTGGGTGCTTCAACTTCCATTCTTATCAGACAGTTTTAAAAAAAAGTTGAGTATTTTTCAACTGTAGTCTTTATTTTAATGTTTCTCAAGCATATTTTTCCTGGTGACAGTTCTTGTACCGTCTGCTCAACCTTTCATCGCCTGAATGACGATGTTAATGATAAACAGTTCTTAATTTTTGCAGCTGTATAATTTCATTTCTGTATCCTATTCATTGATAAATGTAATGCTGCAGAAGCATTTTCATTCCAGGTTCATTTTATGCTCTAATTTATTTGATATTCTTAAATTTTGCAGATTCCTTTTAATTTGGTGAGCTTGAGAAGTTCTTATTGACTGAAGCTACTGATTTTGTAATCCATATCCGTTGCTAGCTTTCCAGTAAAACTTCAAAAGTTTAGATTTTACAGATGGACAGATTGAATCTGATTTACCTTTCACAACAATAGTATCTAAGATTGATCTTTTGAGGTGGAATTTCATCCAACTCCTAGATGAAATTATCTATTGTGGTGGAGTTTCATCCAACTCCCAGATGAAGGGAAAAAACTTTCTTTCTTTCTGAATATCAATATATCATTTTGATATGTTGTTAATATGTAAGCGTTATATGCAGTCCTCGTGCTTAAATGTAACAACCATGTGTCACTCTCCGTTAATACCAAATTATCCAATTACATGTTCCTCCTTAATCTCCAAATGTTTTAGTTTATTTATCCATTCCCGTTCCAATGGTATATTCCTCTTTCATATTCAATCACACAATTCGACAAAATCCATGTCACTTTTGGAAAAAGAACGTTTAAATGTATCTAGGCAAAAACTTATGATGGTTTCTTTCTATTCTTCTACTGCAATCCGACACCTGAGGGGTCCCCCAACAAGGTCACTGAGAAGAAGAATGCGGAAAAGAGCTCTGGCTGCCTCAAAACCTGTTCTTGATGAATCTCGTGTTCAAAGGGCAATCTCACAACTCCCACCTCGCTTCACCCCTGAAGATCTTTACAGTATCATGAGTGTAGAGGAAGACCCATTGGTGTGTTTGGAACTGTTCAACTGGGCGTCAACTCAGCACAGGTTCAGACATGATGTCATCACCTTTCACGTAACCATACAAAAGCTTGGTGCGGCCAAAATGTATAAGGAGATGGATGACATTGTTAATCAAGTTCTTGCTCTTCCCTCAATTGGTTCTGAGGCACTTTTTAATACTATGATACATTACTTCATAGAGGCTAGGAAGTTGATTAGAGCCGTTAATATATTCAAGCATATGCAGAATAGTAAGAAATTGGATTGCAGGCCGTCAATCAGGACTTATAATATTCTTTTTGCTGCCCTGTTGAGTAGGGGAAGGAATTCTTATATAAATCACATGTATATGGAGACTGCTCGTAGCCTATTTAAACAGATGATCAAGGATATGATTGAACCAGACGTATTTGCTTTGAATTCTATGATAAAGGGATACGTTCTTTCACTCCACGTAAATGATGCTCTTAGGATATTTCACCAGATGGGTGTTGTCTATAAGTGTCATCCAAATTCTTTTTCTTATGATTATCTGATCCATGGATTGTGTGCACAAGGGAGGACAAAGAATGCCAAGGAGCTATGTGATGAGATGAAAAAGAAAGGGTTCTCCCCAAGTAGCAAATCGTACAACTCTCTGGTGAATGCTCTAGCCTTGGGTGGAGAGGTGGAAAGTGCGGTGATGTTTTTGCGGGAGATGAATGAAAACAAACGATCAGTTGATTTCATTACCTACAGGACGGTGGTTGATGAAGTCTGCAGGAAACATTGTCTACATGATGCTATGGATTTTTTGAAGGATCTGCGTGAGAAGGACCTCATTGATGCTCATTCTTATAAAAGGTTATTTCAGGAACTTGAAGAAAATCAAGATTAGGATCTGCGTAATGTTTATGTTTCTGCTTTTGTAAGCCATGTTTTAAAGAATCTGGTAACATTTTATCAATATTATGAATTATGATACGGAGTAATAATTTATGTAGCTACTAGATACTACAGGAGTTAATGGGCAAATTATCATTCATACTAAAATCAATTTTTGTAAACCATCTGCCTCATCATTAACAACAAATTTGCAGACATCATTTTGTAAACCATCTGCCTCATCATTAATAACAAATTTTGCAGACATCACTTGCTTCAGGTATCACACACTTCCTGTCTTTTATTTGGGTGCTCCTTTATATCCAGCAGATTGTAGAGATCAATGTAGCAGTTTATTTACGTAAATTCATTTCAGCTGGTGGTAAGTTGACTTTAAACAATTTTTTTGAATCTTTTTAAATCCACGATACACTATCCACCTAAAGGTTCCGAGTGAAATTAATATGAAAGCCTTTGTCAGAATTAGTTAAGCCTTAGCTTTTTTCACTTCATTATTATAAAGTAGATTTTATATACTCCCTCCATTTCACAATCAAAGTCACAGTTTGACTTCACTGTAGAGAACATTTTTTGACACTGTTTGACACTGTTTTGATGCAGATTTCTTTGCCAAATAAGGAAATAACTAAATAAGGGAAGTGTGACTTTGTTTTTGAAACATCCAAAAAAGGAAAGTGTGACTTTGATTGCGAAACGGAGGGAGTAGAACTTTTTTTCATATTTAAGCAAATTTAGCCAATTCACCGACAACTTCAGTGATTTCCGCAAAGTTAACTAAGTTAGCAATTCAGCTAAGAAGTATTCAATTTTACTCTTCATTATTAACCAATTCCATGTGTGAAATCAGAATATTAGTGTGTGGTAAAAATGGTTGTTAAGCCAAAAAACAATGTTACCATTTAGGAACACTAAGTTAGCTTTCTTGTTTTGTGGTTAATTGTAGCTGCTATAACATGCTTTTGAATAAATTTTAAATTTTTAATGGAATGAACATATTTCAATTATCAAATGGTTTCATTAAATTGATGATTGATATGCTCAAATCCTACTAGACTTATCATATAATTTGAGGAGTACTGTTTTGTATTCCTATATTCCAATGCTCTATTCAACAGTGCACTTTATGCCCTGGGAAAGATCTATTTTAGTTCTACGATTCGTGCCTTGACTGGTTTGTGTAAAGAGATTTCAAAAGCTCCCAGGAGAGAATTTGTTTTGGGAGAAGTTTTATTGCTCTGGTGTCTTTTATGCTTTCAAATGGTATGAAAAAAAAGCTTGCCCACACATACATTTATGACTGTTCTGTGTAAGTTTGGACCGGAGTTTGAAGATGTGACATGACTGCAAATCCATTTTCAGCATTTGAGCCCCCTTTTGTGTAACATTTTATCTCCTGGAGCGGCAGTATCCAGCTTTTGGATTGCTGGAGCAATAGAACTTGGTCCTTTTGATGAAAGTCTGGACTTCAGGTGTGAAGGCTTTCCTTGAATACTTGGCAAATTCCAACTCTCACTCTCATTAGAATATACAAATGTTCAAATAGGGGAATGGTTCGCACTACAAATTTGAAATGGAGAAACAAATTCCAACTCTCACTCTCATTAAGAGGTTTGTATTTTGGGATACTACAACTCCAGTACTCCACTAAGATGATTCAAGGATATGGACTAACATTATGTTTGAAAAGAGCAGTGAGCTTTATCACCTCATGATTTTTTTCATCCGTCCAAATTATCTTCACGGTGTATATGAATACACAACCCAAATGTATATGAATCAACAACTCAAGAATCATCACCTTTGGGACATATCGTATTCGTGTAGCTAAAACAGGCAGTGAGAATTCACCTTGGGGGAGCAGATGTGCTCCCATGTTGAGATCACTTAACATAAAAAGAAACTTGAGATAACAAGTTTTAAAATTGAGAAACTTTTTAAAATGTGGAACACATAAAGATTATTTAATCCAAAGGGACGGTTGAGAATTGAAAAAGTGTAGCTATAGTGACATTATAATTATTTCTCACTTGAAAGGGTACCACACATTGATATGTTTGGTTGGGGCGTGTTAAACTTGGTTCTTTACTTGATGAATTGTACTTCATCTATTGCATAATACAACTACTTTCATTTGACCAAAGGGAAAAGGTGTAAATAGGCCCATGTACTAATAAAAAAAGGTCAAATAAGCCCTTATTTAGGAGACTCTGTCCGGCTGTCGCCATTTGGGGTGGTTCCCAGTGGATTTTTTTGATGAAATTTTTTGAGCATCTTATTCATTAAGTCTAGTTTACTCATATCAAATTTCAACTAAAACTTCAATCGGGAAGGCATTCAAATGAATTCTTGAAAATAACTGCGCAGTTATCTTCAAGAATTCATTTGAATGCCTTCCCGATGGAAGGTTTAGTTGAAATTTGGTATGAGTAAACTAGACTTGATGAATAAGATGCTCAAAAACTTTCATCAAAAATTCCACTGGGAACCACCCCAAATGACGACGGCCGGACAGAGCCTCCTAAATAAGGGCTTATTTGACTTTTTTTAGTTAGTATATAGGCCTATTTGCACCTTTTCCCTTTGACCAAATTATAACTGAAGAAACTTTTTTTTTGTAGTCTTTGTGATTGGCTTTTTCTCATGCTCTGGCATGGACAATGAAATTCGGGACTTCACTTAATGTAAAATTTCCAGCTGCGATAATTGTTAAAATGACAATATGTGAATCATGTTGCAAGTATATTTCTACTCATTGGTTTGAGATTTTTTGCAACTGAGGATGACCCAAAATCAACATGATTTCAAACCTTCTTTTGAACCTTGTTTTTGGACAACGAGATCAAGCATTGAACATATGCAACACACTTAAATACTTGTATTTGCAATTATTTTAATCAAATACGGTGCATGCAATATAATGTGCCCCAAATAGATGATGGTATTTTACACCTCATCACTAGTGTTTTTTACGGAGTATTAATTAGTTGTAATCACCTCATCAATGGTTCAACAAAGTCATTTGTATAAGAACGTGAGTATCTGGGTGTTTCCAATATTTTAATGACATGCAAAATTTTAGAGCTTATTCTTAATAATTTGATCTCATAATTTGGACTTTTAATCGCATAATTTTTTGAGCAAGGATATTAAGAGATGGTATATATAGTTGATAAAATATTAATATGTGGCACTCTTTTGATGCATCAATCATAATCGTAAAAATTAAAATGATCACATGATCTGACAATTGACACAAAAGTTTTCCCATTAAAGCCTCTCATAATGCGTTTAATTTAAAATGTCTGTCAAACTTTGTGCCAAAACACACACATCCTTGTAAAGAAAGTCATTGGATAAAGGTGTTCTAATATTCTTTATTTAGAACTTAAATGTATTCTCAACGAATGTTGAATTATTGGTTATCGAATGTCTTGCTTGATACCAACTTTGCTTGAGTTTAAGATTTGCACGATTCAAGCAATTAACTCAACTCTCTGTTAATCCATAATTTTATATGATAAATACTTAACTCAACTCTCTGTTAATCCATAATTTTATATGATAAATACTCCGTAAATGTTATTTTTGAATTCATTTTATGTGATTTAATATCATCGCATTTTTAGAGTATGTATATTGATTTTAATTAATTAATTATATTGATTATATATATATATATATATATATATATATATATATATATATAGGGTGCGGTTCCGGTAAGAGCGGATTCTCATGAGAGAAATGAGAATGAATCTGGACCGTTTGAATTGTGCATTTGGTGAAACTGAAATGTGCATTAGATGATATTGAAATGTGCAGAATAAATATTTAGGTGAAAATGAATAATGCTCAAGTGTGCATTAGGTGAAACTGAAATGTGCAGAATAAAATGTATAAAAATAACACCACTTCGTACCTTTTATTCTGCATATTTCAGTTTCACCTAATGCACATTTCAATTTCACCTAATGCACAATTCAGCTTCACATAATGCCACTGTATTGTACCATTTGTGTTGTTCATTTTAATTTCACCTAATGCACATTACAGTTTCATCTAATGCACATTGAATTTCACTTAAAGCAAATCTAACGCTCCAAATTCATTCTCATTTCTCTCCTAAAGATCATGTTCTTATTTGAACCAAAACCTGTGTGTGTAAGGTTGAGCTCAAGTGAGAAGACATATTAACGTGTAAAAATAAAAATTAATCTCAGCCGTCCAATCTGTTAATCTGATGCATAATAACCTTGATCTACTGCACTTTTGGATAAATCTTATCTTCTCTTTTGGATAAATCTTATCTGTTGCACTTTTCGAGTAAACAAATATATTAAGGAACAAATATGAGTAAACATGGTATTAAGAAATATATTAACATTATTTTACAAATATATGTAATTCTAGATTTATTTTTCATTTGACAAGTAGACACTTTTTCATTCCGAGTGATAGTTTTTATGTGATGACCTCTTTCATGTACATTTGTATCACTCGATAGATTTCACCGAGAGATGTGAGAGTAAAAACTATGACTAGTTGTCAGTTGTCACCCGCTTAGAGATACCTTTCAATGAAATTCACAACAGTTAATGTCATATTAAAGCCAACTTGAATGAATAAGAGACATTTCAGACAATATACTCACTCCATCCCAAATGATTTACAAAGTAAATTTTTCTTGGTCAACATAATTCCACCTTATCTATTTATTTAGCATATCATTTTTTATTATATTTTAATTTGGACTTCCTGACTTTATAGAACTTTTGGTGTAGTATCAACTACTAGTATCAAATATGCACGTCAATTTTAATTACTAAAACTAATTAGATCGTCCACATAGATGATTTAACTTTGTCGTCAGTCAACCTTAAAACCGCAAATTGCAATTCAATTCAGAACGGAGGAAACATTTGTTTTTAAAGTGGTATACATTTTGAGAATTATTATCAAATATGTACATTTTGGTAGGTTTCATTATGATATAACAAATTGTTTTGATCATCCTGAGCATTTTTAGTGTGATATGTTAATGAACTTTTAGTTTGTCATCAACTAAACAAATGCTTAGTAGTTTATTGTCCTCATTTTATAATGAATTAAGCGATTAAGTGATTGTTTCATTTTAGTTGACTTTTGATAAATGATTATTTTATTAGAGATTATATAGATATGAATATATGATTGATAGTCAAAGTTGATAATGTTTGAAAAATGGATTCGAAAAGGTAAGGTTATAGTTTTTGGTGGAATAGTGGTTTTTTTCGTGTAATATAAAAAGTGAAAAACATTTAACCATCTCATTGTTTTTCAATTTTGACTTTAAACTGTCTACATTCAAATAAAAGCACCGGTTTGAAACACATTTTTCAATCTTTTTTGAAGTTGAAAAGTGGGGTTTTAAAGCGAATATGTGAAAAAATATCCATGATGTTTAACTTCACGTGCGGATACATATACCCCTAAAGTTTTGAAATTTGAAAAATTATCTCCAGAATTCACATTTAAGAACAAATTTGCATTTTTAGCTTTAAATAAATAAAAATATATATTTAAAAGTACCGAAATAGATAGATTAGTGATTATATCAAGTTGGGATATTGAAAACTAAAAAGTTATTTTTTTTTTGTTGAATGCTTTCTTTTATTTTTCAATATCAATTTAATATTTTTTTGACTGTAATATCAATTTAATATAGTTAACATACAAAAACAATATTTTAGAACTAAAACATATAATTATGATTATTGCAAAATGTTTTGAAAACTTAAAACTCTAAAATGTCATTTTGTGCTCAATGCATCCTTTTATGTTAACATATTAACTTTTGATTTAAAAAATAAGAAAGCATACAACACAATTTTCAAAAAAAAATTTATTTTTCGTTTTCCGACCTCAATATAATTCATTAATTTATTTTTGATTATTTATTTGAAATCAATGGGTATATCTGACTCTCGACCTAAAGATCAAGAGTATATTGTTGGGTTACTGTTGTGATCAGGGACCATTATTCAAAGGCTACAACATTTACCATTGGAAATTTGACATTGTTATGGCTGAGAACCAAGGTTGTTAAAATCGTATTTATGAATCGAATCGGTAGATGTTTTTAAAAATCGAATCGTAAAATCGAATCGCAAATCGTAAGATTTTACCAAACATATTTTAATAATTATAAAATAAATAAATATTAAAATTAAGTTGCAAGTTAATGATATTATATCATTTCATTACATAAAACTATACCTAAAATGTCAAAAGCAGGATTTATAAACTGTTTTTATAATGTAAATGTATTGAATAATAACATTAAACATGTGTAAAACATAAAAATAATTAAGTAACACAAGAATCCATTACTTTTATAAATAAACGATTCATATTATTATTATTGGAATTATGTATCAATTTGTAGTTGTTAATTTTAATAAATTTGAACCATTTTCACCAAAAACAATTTATAACGATTTTGCTACGATTTTATACGATTCTACACGAATTTAGGACGATTTTTTTACGATTTTGTACGATTTTATGATTTTACGATTTTACCTGCGATTTGAATCGCTTTACTAATGTAGAATCGTAAAATCGTACGATTTTACGATTTAAATCGAGATTTTAACAACCTTGCTGAGAACCATAATCCAAAGCTTAGAACCTAACATTTACAAAAGGAAATTTGACATATTTATAACGGAAGTTGTTCTACAAATGAAGCAAAATTAAACTAATAAAAAACAAACTAAATGAATTTGAAACCAATTAAAATTGACTAGTTCATCGGCAGTTTGATTTATAGTTTACACTATTAATTAAAAATCTATTGAACCGAAATTCACCAATAAAAATCAATCAAAACTTGTTAAAACAAATTATAACCACTATAAACCGTACCTATCGAAATTTATCGAATCAAAACTGACTCAAGTTGAGCAGGTCAATCCTCATTATAAATCGAAGTTAACTGAAACAAATTCGACTCATTCGAGTTTTGCGTTTCTATTCTCAATTCCTAAAACTGGAACCACAAATTTGAACTAACAATTTTTTTAAATAGATGTGACTCTCTTATGGAGTCACATGGGCTATTGTGACTCATCTCCGTCATTTTTTTAAGTAGACACAATATCACCGAGGGGGCATAGCTCACCTGGTAGGAAGAGAGTGCCACAAGAGAGAGGTCTTAAGTTCAACTCCAAGCAATGACTTGAGATGAAGCCGCACTCTCTTTCTATTAGAATGAGATCAAAACTCAATTTACATCATCCCAACTAGCTGTCTGGTCGATGCTAGGAGCCCTCAAAGATAGGATGTCACATCCTTTTTTAAGTAGACATAATATCCATGTGACTAACACCATATATTGTATAAATCAGTTTGTACACCGGTGTGCGTAACTCAACTGGTAGCGAGGGAGTGCCACAGGGTTAGGTTTCGGGTTCAACTCCCGGTATTGCGATGAGAGGTTACTCAACAAAGGACCTCTACAAGTACCGGGGACAGAACCCCACTCTTTATCTGTCAGATTGAGATTATAGTCCAATTTATATCATCCCATTGTACCGTCCGGTCGGCGGTGGGTGGCCCTCGGGGATGAGATGTCATCTTTTTTTACTCCCTCCGTCCCGAAAAATTGTTCCCGGTTTCCTTTTTGGGCCGTCCCAAAAAAATGTTCCACTTTCCCCTTTTGGAAAGTTTTGTGTGGCTCACATTCATTTACCTTTTTATTACACAACTACAATCATATACTTTTTACTTTATCCCCACTTTCTTAAACTCCGATCCAAGTCAATGCGGGAACAATTTTCTGGAACGGAGGGAGTATATAATTATAATCAGTTGTGCCGAGGACAGGAAGGGGATTTCGGTCAGCTTCGAGGGCAGTTGTGTAACATCCAGGCAGTGGTGTCGCGAAGCGTGATAGCCTGCCAGGTGCCTCGCCCCAAGTCCTATATACGACTGCACCACACTCACTATTTGCAATAGTGTCTGTCATTTTGTTGGTGGTCGTAAAATGGTCTCAGCTAAGGGCAAGGAGAAGGTTTCCGCCGGCGACAAGGGCTCGGCGGGAAAGCGGAAGGCTGATCCCGGCAGGGGAAAGGATGATGACAAGACCGGCAAAAGGCACAAGCGTGATGTGCTGCAGTTCTTCGAAGACAGTGCGCACGAGGTCGGAGACGACGACGACGACTTCAGTGACGATTCTGATTTCAACGTCGATGGTATATAGATCACAAATATTTGCTGCCCTCGTTTTTTCTGTTTCCGCCTCTGCATTTTGTTTTTGACTTTTTTGGCAATGGCTACCCAAATTAGGGCTCCAGTCGCTGTTTCCTATTTTTGGTATTCTTTCTGCATTGAGATGTTGAAGAACTGGGGATTTTCGTTGCAGTTGATCAGAAATACGAGTATGAAAATTGGGGATGTGACAACTTTCTAATTGGCGATTCATTTTGTGTTATGTTTTTATTTTCCATTTTTTGGTTTTTGGGGTTGGGACCTTCGGGTTCTTTTGAAACTTAAGATATTTGCTTAGTCTATTCCTGACTTTGTTGTGGTTTATAAGGTATTAAGGAGTTGCCTGAGTTTATTCTTAAATTAATGTATTTTAATCATGAGCCTCTCTTTGATCTAGTTAGTTAAAACATGAGACCTAAGTCATGACTCTGCTAGTCTGCTTATACACAAAGTTTCAGTATCGTTTACTTGAATTCTTTGTAGGAGCATAAGATACGTGCATTGGTTAGTGAACAAAATATGGTTGACATTTTAATTTTGTTTCATTTATATCTCTACAATTTAATAGCCATGCAGATACCTGTAGGTCTTTAATTTCATGAGATGTATCTATTCTGGAGCCTCTGAAATGCCAAAAAGTTATTTTGGAAAGTTCTTGTTCAGAAAAAGATAATAACTTGGCTGTGTGAGCGACTGAGCATGCATGGCCATGCACACACATTGATTTATGTGTTCAAATGATATTCGTTTGCCATTTTTTGACACTTCAGATTTTATCCAAGAAGATTTAGGTGTTGATGAGGGAGTCCAGAATGAACATGTTAAGCGCCCTGTTTTCCCTCTAGTACCTAAAGAAGAGGAGATGGATGAAGAGGAGCTAGAGAAAATGTTGAGAGAGCGTTACAAGCCTAGTTCTAGTTTTGTTAGATATGCAGAAGATGGCTATGAAAGGAAAGGATTTATCGATGAGGACATATCTGTTCCCTCCTCCACGGACCCTACTATTTGGAAAGTCAAATGCACGGTAAACATTTTTTGATAACAAACTTTGTAATAAAAACTCAACATTGCTAGTTATGTTCCCATCCACTTCTGATTCTCTTGTGCGGTGTTTGTGCTAATTAATTGTAAAATGTAGGTTGGACGTGAAAGGCATTCAGCTTTCTGCCTTATGCAGAAATATGTAGACTTGCATGCTCTGGGAACAAAAATTCAGACAATCTCTGTTTATGCTCCTGATCACGTGAAGGGCTTTGTTTATATTGAAGCTGAGAAACAGCGTGATGTTATCGAGGCACACTTCCTAGTCTCTGTGATACTTTTATGCTATGCTTTTTTGGTTGATGATCATTGGTGAATTGGGGGGGGGGTATGGTTTAAGAAGTGTTACGTGTGAGTATTTAATTTGTTTTTTTATTTATGGAATTGTTTGTGTACAGGCTTGTAAAGGGCTTGCTAGTATATATTGCAGTCGGATGGCTCAAGTTCCAAGGAATGAAATCTCTCAACTCTTCTCTGTACGGAGCAAGTGCCATGGAATTTCTAAGGGCATGTGGGCTCGTGTCAAGAGCGGAAGGTATAAAGGAGATCTAGCGCAGGTACTTTCAAAATTTTTTCTTTGTGGGGAGTGTTAGTTGAATTCAATGTCAGTGCTCTATATTCGTTTTTGCATTTATATGTATCCATTTCTTTATTACAATTTTGGTAGTCAAAGTGACATGCACCTTTATTTCAAAAATGCTAATTGTTTCAGTTGTGAATGTTTAGGTTGTTGCAGTGAGTGACAGACAGGCAAAAGTCACTGTCACTGTGAAATTGATTCCAAGAATAGACTTGCAAGCACTGGCTGATAAATTTGTAATATTTTTTTCTCATTAATGCCCTCTGTAATTCTGAATTGCTTGCTTTCAGTTTTTATGTAGTTTCAGCATGCCATAGATTTAGAAAGGCCTTGTAATTTTAGTTTATTTCGTAAAGGCTATCGGTATTTGAAATAAGTAGACATTTAACGGAGGTCTATGGTAATTCAATATTTGAATAACATCGCAGTGTGCAACATTAAGTGGGTGATAGAATCATAAAATCAATACTTCAAGTGAATTCATTATGTGTTCTATAACTGCAAATGCTCTTATCAAAAACAATTTTTTATTTTTAATAAATATTTACAGGGCGGGGGAGTTGCTGCCAAGAAGGCTTCCATTCCAACAGCAAGATTTATCAGTTCTACTGAGCTTGAGTAATATTTGCCTTTTAAATAATATATTTGTTCTTTACACTCGTGATCAACAGTATAAGAAACTTCTTCCCTTATTATAATTGCAGGGATTTCCGCCCTCTCATCACATACCGTAAGGATCGTGATACAAATGAGATGTATGAAGTTCTTGATGGAAAGATGCTTAAAGAAGGCTATTTATATAAGAAGATGTCTGTTGACTCTTTGTGCCTTTGGGGTGTAATGCCTTCTGAAGCTGAGCTCCTGAAGTTTGAACCTCCTAAGAAAAATGTGCCACAGGACACCGAGTGGCTTTCCCAGCTATATGGCGAGAGCACGAGAAAGCAGAAAATTAAGAATGACAAAGGGTCTGGGAAAGGCGGTGAGAAGGGAGAGGGTTCATCGAGCTCTGGCAACTTAAACAGTTTTGAAGTAGACGATCTAGTGTTCTTTGGGTAAGTGTGCTGGTTTTATATTGCTTTTGCCAGGGATCTTGTCATGTGCGTAATTCATATCTTGTCTTATGTTTATCCTTTTCCCCTGGTTACTGCAGCCGTAAGGATTTTGGCATCATTGTTGGCACTGAGAAGGAGAATGTGTATAAAGTATTTACACTCTTTGTGCCCCTTTTCCTGCTCTCTTCTTCTCTCACACAGGCAGTGGTTTCTCATCAAGTTTTTTTTTACTCAGATCATCAAAGAAGGTTCAGAGGGGCCAGCACTTGTAACCCTTCAACTTCGTGAACTAAGAGCCGCATGCTTCGATAGAAAGTTGTTTACTGTAAAAGACCGAAATCAGAATACAATCTCCATAAATAATGTTGTACGGGTTTTGGATGGTCCATCAAAGGTTTGCTTCTTTTTCAAAAAATTCCAGGAGTTTCACTTCTTCCTTTGGGCATGCATTACCATCGTGAAGCTAATGATTTTGTGAATCTATCAATAATTTACAGGATAGACAAGGAACTGTCAAACAAATCTATAAAGGAGTCATCTTTTTGTATGATGAGTTGGGCGAGGAACATAATCGCTATGTCTGCGTTAAAGCTCAGATGTGTGAAAAAATTTCCTGCAATGATGTTTTATTGTCTGGCAAGGTTTGTTGTTCCCCTTCGGGTCGTTTATATGCAATGATAGTACCCCTTTTTACAAGTGACACAAGCTTCACTCATTCTCATTTCTAAATCCATAGGAAAATGAGGCCGGGCCATCATCTGCTTTTGATGATTCTCCATCATCTCCAAATACTCCTTTGTCTCCTAAGAAACCTTGCCGGGGGAGGGATGTTAACAGCAATTGTATGTTTTCAAAGATTATGCTGCATCCATTTTAATTGGCTAGATTGAGAAACTGACATGCATATGTGATGTAATGGTACAGTTCATCGCGAGGATAAAGATGGACTGTTCTCTGTTGGCCAGTCGGTAAGAATACGAGTAGGTCCTTTGAAGGGTTACATCTGCCGCGTCTTAGCTGTACGCCAAACTGATGTGACTGTGAAACTTGATTCTCGGCAACAGATTCTTACAGGTATGATGGCTTAATCTGATTACTTTCAGTGTTATGTTTTGGGTCACTTGGGTGCTACACCATTACTCAAACTTTTCCATGTATTTGTAGTTAAAAGTGAGCACCTGTCTGAGGTTCACGGAAAGTCTTCTAACATTTCTTTGAGGTACTGTTACATCTACAGATCTACTCAAACAAGATTCTTTTAACTCGTTTCCTTTTGGATTGTACATCTTTAGTTCTCTGTTAATTACTGACTACTTGCAGTAGCACTGATCCAGAGGGTTCTAGACCATTTGATCTGTTTGGAGCACAAGATGGTTCAAGAGGTACTAGTGACTTGTGTATCTGGTCAACTAAGCTCAAATATGTTAACCTGGAGAGTGTAGCTTTGAAGTTGATTTTGTTCAGCAGCTCTGTTTGGCTATTGCTTTCTTTTTTGTTTACTTTTCATCGGATCATATGATATTGTGAGTTTTGTCAGAGCTTTATTGGTGTTATACTGGTATACTCCCTCCGTCCCGCAAAATTCTTCCCATTTTCCTTTTTGGGCCGTCCCACAAAATTCTTCCCACTTACCATATTTGAACAATTTGTGTGGTTCACATTCATTTCACCTTTTTCTTACACAACCACAATCATACATTTCCACTTTATTCCACTTTCTTAATCTCCGTGCCAAGTCAAACTGGGAAGAATTTTGTGGGACCGAGGGAGTACTTGTTTAAATTGATATACTGCATAATACTCCTGTTTTCATTTTTTAGATTATAGTACATTGTATTTGGAAAGATTTATAATAATTTTTGTGTATATTACTCTATACATGAGGCTCCTGTTTCACTAATTTGGCTTGTTTTACCTTTACTTTTACCCTTCATCATTTTCTATTTCCTACTGGTTTTACCTTTTCATCTTCTCTTTCTTACTATGCAGTACCCGTACTATGTTTTCTTGAGCTTCATGAAAACAATATTTGAGCAATTGATAAAAATGGAAGAAGTATGGTATAGTACATTATATTTGGAAAGATTTATAATAATTTTCGTGTATATTACTCTATACACGAGGCTTCTGTTTCACTAATTGGGCTTGTTTTACCTTTACTTTTACCCTTCATCATTTTCTATTTCCTACTGTTTTCATTTTCTATTTCCTACTGTTTTTACTTTTCCATCATTTGCAATGGAGCCAAAAGTTCACTATTTTTTTTGGCTTGAGAATAAGATGGAATAAAGTAAAATGGCTCACTAAACTGTCTGCGCTTCTTTGTTATGAAGCAGTAGTCAGTCCATGCAATTTTGGATGTGATTTTCAATATGGGTCATCCGGAAACAGTCTTTTTGTGCTTTAGTACAGAGGTAAGACTGCGTACATCCGACCCCCCTTACCCTACTGTGGTAAGGGTAATGATAATGATGATCTTCTCTTTCCTACTATGCAGTACCTGTACTATGTTTTTCTTGAGCTTCATGAAAACAATATTTGAGCAATTGATAAAAATGGAAGAAGTATGGTCTAACAATAGTGTAGATATCTTCCCTATGTATCGAGGCTACCCTTTTTATCAAACATCTTTCCCTGTACCTTAGGCGTTTGTCTGCATGCATGTATGTTTGTGTTTACACTGCATCTCTAACACTTTCCTTTCGAGAATTTTTATTACCTCTATCATGTAATAATTGTCTCATTTCATTTGAAGATTGGGCTGATGGTGGGATTCAAGCGGCACAAGATGATAGTTGGAATGCAGGATTATCATCTAATGGAAGGTTATCCTCCTTAGCCTATGCGATAAAACCTATGTTTGATCAGTTATTTTGCATTTCTATATTTTTTAGTTGATTGCCCTGCAGAAAATTTTGGGATGGACTGATGGAGTGCAAATTCATTATCAATCATTTGCTTTTGATGTTATAAAGTTGTTATCAAACAATAACTCACTTGTATTCATGTAGTAGCCTTCAGCTGTTGGTACCTAACAAGAAAAGATTAGATTACAAATTTAGAAGTGATAAGAGTCCACATTCTGGTGCAATGTTAAACTAGGGTGATATAGACGGAAAAAGCCTATTATTATTGTTGTTATTAATATTATATATATTGTCTTTAATTTTTTTATATCTATTATTAATAGTTTCCTATGGTTATTAGTAATAGACTAATAGTAGTTTCCGACTAGCATTAGAAGTCTATTTTAGTTAATAATTCCTACTTTCTAGTAGAGATATTGTAACAGGTATATGTTTACTCTAATACCTGTCTACCAAGACACTTAAACCAGTATAAACAGATGTCCTTTGTTCATTAATAGTATGATCGATATTTTGGAGTGATAATTCTGCTTGTGTGCTAGGTGGAACTGATAGACATTTCCTTGCCCAAGGTGGAAGCTGAGTTATTTTGCAATTACTTATCTTTTCAATCTTTTTCTTTTCATTTAGACCTAATGAGTTTCCTTTTCATTTTTTTTTCTATAAATATGCTTAAGATTGATAGTATTGGTGTGTTTTTATTTTGTTTATTACCCATAGTAAGTAGTAACTACTAACTACAGTTGAAGTTCACTACTCCTTTAACTTTTTGAAGTGTGTTGCCAGTAATTTATCTTTGTAGCATATATATGTATCCTTTCAACCTACACACACAAAAAAAGTTACGTATCCCTTCACTGCTTGTTACTTATATTTCTGTTTCTTACTCCCCAGTTGGTATAACAGTTTTGAAAACATATCATACAGTAATTTTGTGCTTACTTTTGCAGGAACTCCTGGCCTTCTTTCCCTTCATCGAGCTTACCAGTATGTACAAGTTCCAATCTTGATGTTTTCATTTTCCATCTTACTTTATTTGCCATAGGTTCTAGTTTGTATGAATACGTCATGGTAAAGCGTCTGCATTTTACAGACTGTACAAGACCCTAATACCAGTTCTCTCACTGCAGTTGATGTTAATAAAGGTATGATTTACATGCAACTGTTTTGACAGTTACCAAACTAGACAAGAATTGAAACAAGTATCCAGGCTGCGCTATGTGAAGCCAGTTTGGTTGTTTTTATCTGAAACTGTAAAACTCCTATTTGCATACGTGACTACGTGTTTGATTTTGATGTGTTGAACACTTGAACTCAATTTTTATTTTGGATCCATGTTATTTCAGCGACATGCAAAATGAAATTATTTCCCATCTGTATATTTATTATACTCTTACCTCGTTTTTTTTTTACTTTATGTTATTTGGATAGAAGATACTGGGAGTTCTGCTTGGGAAATAGGGACAAGTCAAAGTAAAGATGCTGGGCAAGGTAGTGGCTGGGGAGGAAGTGATAGTTGGAAAAAAGTTGCTTCTACTTCAGTGGCTGGAACCTCTGGTTCTGACAGTTGGGGTAAAACTTCTGAAGCATGTGAGGGAAGCATAGTCAAGAATGATGGTTCCAGCTGGGGTGCTGCAGCAAAGAATGAAGGCCAAAGCGAAGGATGGGGCAACAAAGTGCAGAGCGAAAGAAATGATGGGCCTAGTTGGGGAAATTCTGCGAGTTCTCAAGGTAAAGGCACTACCGTTGCAAACAATGATGCTTGGGTCAGTAAGGGAGCAGCTTCTAGCTCTTTACCTGGTCCAGTGAGTGAAAGCGGTGGATGGGGTAGTGCAGGCATTTCGCAGGACGGTGGATCCCAATGGGGGAAACAAGATAATAAGGTACAGCAAGATGTGGGATCTTCTTGGGGCAATAAGAAGGAAGATGAATCATCATGGGCAGCACAGGGTGGAGGGTCATCTTTGGGCCAACATGATGGTAAGGGGCAAGATGTGGGATCTGCTTGGTCCAGCAAGGAGGAGAAATCCTCCTGGGGAAAACAAGGAGGATCATCTTGGGGCCAACAGGAGAGTAAGGTACCCAATATTTCTGGTGGAGGTGAGGATGGTGGGTCATCTTGGGGAAAAAAGAATGGCGGTGGTTCGGTAGGAAAACAAGATGTGGGATCTTCCTGGAATAATAAGGAAGATAAATCCTCATGGGGAAAGCAAGGCGGAGGATCTTCCTGGGGTCAACAAGACAGTAAGGAGGCACATAATAGTAGTTCTGTTGGGGGCGGATCCTCTTGGGGAAAGCAGGATGGTGGTGGCTCATGGAATAAACAAGACGGTGGTGGATCCTCTTTTGGAAAGCAGGATGGTGGCGGCTCATGGAGTAAACAAGACAGTGGCGGATCCTCTTGGGGAAAGCAGGATGGTGGCAGCTCTTGGAGTAAACAAGACGGTGGTGGATCCTCTTTTGGAAAGCAGGATGGTGGCGGCTCATGGAGTAAACAAGACGGTGGCGGATCCACTTGGGGAAAGCAGGATGGTGGCGGCTCTTGGAGTAAACAAGACGGTGGTGGATCCTCTTTTGGAAAGCAGGATGGTGGTGGCTCATGGAGTAAACAAGACGGCGGCGGATACTCTTGGGGAAAGCAGGATGGTGGTGGCTCATGGAGTAAACAAGAAGGTCAATCTTCTGGTGATGGACCACATCAACAAGGAAGTTGGGGGAGCGGTGGGGGGGCTTCTGATGGGGGCCGTGGTGGTGGAAGAAGAGGAAGGGGCAGGGGACGAGACAGTTTTGGTAGGGGTGGAGGTAGAGGAAGGTCTTTTGATCATGGAGGTGAGTCAAATAGCTGGGGTAAGGACACTGAAGGTAATTTCGGGTCAGGATTTGCTGCTGCTGGGGGGCTGCCATCGAATAGTTGGAAGAGTGAAAGTTCTTGGGGTAAGACATCTGATGGAAGCAAAAAGGATGATTGGGGGAATCTAAATGCATCTAGCAGGGATGATAATAGCTCTGGAAAGAATCCCCAAGGTTGGGGTGTAGTGAAAGATGCTGAATGTGGTGGTTCAAGCTGGAAAAGCCAATCAGAAAAGCAGGAAGGATGGGGTTCTGCTGCCGCTGGAGAATGCAGTTGGAAGAGCTCCCAAGAAAGCTCTTGGGGAAAGGTAAAATCAACTGATGAAAACAAAACAGATGATTGGGGTAGTAAACAAGATGTAGCAGGTGAGAAATGGAACAGCAAAGCAGGATCAAGCTTGGGTTGGAAAAGTGACCAATCTGAAAAACCCGATGATAACAAAGATGGTGCTGCTTGTAATAATAAACAAGCTGATTGGCAGAGTGGAGGAGGATGGAATGCTGCCAAACCTTCTGCTGGTGAAAGCCAGCCATCTAGTTGGACCAAGAAACCAATTGTGGACAAAGGAACAGATGATACCAATGAAGTTGGTGGTGGGTGGAATGCAACAGGTAAAGGAAGTGGTTCTGAAACAAAACAGTCGTCAGGATGGAACAATAAAAGTTCCAATGAGAGTTCGGCAGTTGGTTGGGGGAGTAGTGGAAACCAGTCATCTGGGTGGAAGAGTGAAAGTAACTGGAACTCAGGAGGCAGTGGCTTTGGCGGCGGGAATGAACATCAAGATGACAGCTCCAATGAACGGGGAGGAAGAGGTGGGTGGAGGGGTGGCCGTGGAGGTGGATTCGATAGGGGGGGAGGATATCGTGGAAGAGGTGGCTATGATAGGGGAGGAGGTTATCAGGGCAGAGGTGGTGGATCTGAAAGGGGTGGCGGTGGATTTCGAGGTAGGGGTGGTGGTTTTGATAGGGGCAGCGGTGGTTTTGGGGGGAGAGGACGTGGTAGAAGAGATCAGACCGATGAATGGAACAATAACAGTAGAAATGATTTCAGCGGTGATGGCAATAAGCAGAGCAGTTGGGGCAATGGGTCAAGTGGTGATGGCGGCAGCAGCTGGAAAGCTAATGAGAACAAGGGAAGTTGGAATGGAAGTGGCAATTCACAGAGTTGGTCCACAGGTGATGGGAATAAGCTGAGTAGTTGGAATAATGGGTCAGGCGGTGATGCAGGCAGTGGCTGGAAAGCTTCCAGTGATAGTAATAAAGGAAATAGTTGGAACGAAGGTGGAATTGGGAAAGGCCAGTGGCAATCAGGTGGTGGTGAGCAGCAGAAGAACACGAGTGATTTTAGTGGCGATAGCAAGCCACCGAGCAGTTGGAATTCTGGGGATGGTGGTGGCAGTGGCTGGAAAGCTACCAGTGACGATAATAATACTAATAAGGGGGGAAGTTGGAATAGTGCTGGCGGTGATGCAGATGGTGGTGCCAGTAAGGCATCATCCTGGGGCAACACATCCGAATCTATAAAACCCAAAGAAGGCGCTGGGGCTGCTGCTGATGCGTGGGGTAAGGCATCATCATCTACCTCATGGGGTGGCAAAGAGAGTAATGGAGGAGCTAGCAAGGGAGGGTGGTGAACATGACCAGCTCAGAGGTAAACTTTTTATATGTATTTACCTCTTAAAACAATCAAGTATTTAATGTACAATTTTTTTAATCAGCTTTCAAAGTACAAGCTGTTATAAGTTAAGAATGGTCTTTTATACCCCTATAAATTATTTCCAAAGCTTGTTGTGGAATTGACTGAAACCCCGCTTGGTGCTTTGCTTTACATGGAAGTTTACTTATGAATCAATGTTGGCTTTTACAACTGGACTATTTTTCGGAACTAAAAGAGTTTGAATTTTCTTTTAATTTGAGGGGTGCTGGGGAGGTAAAATTTAGTTCATACTGTGAGTGAGACAGTGACAAACATGATATGTGAGTCCTTTATTTGAACCTGTTGTGTTCATCTGCTTTTGCATGGTTTGGTTGTTCATGAATCATGATAGAATTTTATTATTGTGCTCAATTTACTTTTTTCTAAAGCAGCAATGATGTGTTTTTAATTATAATTACACCCTCTATTCTCTTTTCCTGCAGGGTGCTCTAATTGCTTCTACTACTTGTATGGATGGGGGTGTCTTCTTAGATCAGACGAGTTTGTGTCTTCCCACATAAGTGTAGTGTTTCCAGCCTTTGTAATAATAATGTTGGAGTTAGAATGTGATATCCCTTGTGAGGTTGACATAAAAACCCTACTTTTGACGTTTGATGTGTTATCCATCATTTAAAGGGAAGCCTTTCTGCATTACTATGTCGTCCAAAGCTGCTGTCCAACATTACTTTATTTGGTTTGAGTCAATCGTGATTTGCTTTCATTCACTAGATTCAAACCACAAGTTTTAAGCTCAGCTACTAGCAGTGGTTGACTGGTTGTTTGTTACAAGTCACAATGAAGCTGTGGTTTTTCTTTTTACTGTTCCACGCAACATTTATGTGTGTGTGTGTTCACTTATCCAGATCGGGTCTCTTGGCTTGGTGTACCTCAATTGCTTGGTACAACCGTTCAGCGGTTCAGCCTAACATAAAAAAACAGAAAATATGAAACAATTAAAGAAGTTTTTAGAATGCTTTTAATTGGATTGAAATTTTTTGGTTTGACATAAAAATCAATTAAAGTAGATAACATCAGAGACAGAGACAAGTGTTTTTTGAAGACGGTTTTATTTGTATGGCAGCAAATTGTACTTGTATAAGTTGTATACAAGTGTGCTTAACATCTATGTGACACGTTGTATCATTTAAGATGTTTTTTTTTTGTGTGATTTGATATGATAATGAGTTATGACCTATCTAAGATTAGTAGCCTAATCTTAAGCTTGTCATGTCTTTAGGTTCAGTCAAGTCCAACTGCAGATCTAACCACAATATTTTGGGTTATTGAAACTATTTTACAATTTTTTTTTTGAATAGAAATACTTTTTTTAACACATATTTTTTTATATGCTCCTGCCTTGGCATCTAATCTGGTTGAGTAGTATTAATTTTAATTTAGTTTTAAGATTGGATATATCGAAACTACTAAACAGATACTACCTCCGTCCAGTTGGAATGTTCCCACTTTCCTTTTTTGGATGTCCCAATGGAAAGTTCTCATTTCCCTAAATGGAAAGTTATCCTACATCAAAACAGTGTCAAACAGTGCAAAACAGTGTCAAACAATGTCAAACAGTGTCCAAACAGTGTCCAAACAGTAAAAATTACCCCCTGGTAAGTTTATTTCCTTAATATGTGTGTAGGTCAAACCGGGAACATTCCAACGGGACGGAGGGAGTATATTCTTGCATTGAAAAAGAAAATGTATTACTCCGTATCATTTAATGGTGGATTTGGTTCGGGCCACCCGGCTTGTGACCCGGTCACAAGCTCGGCCTGATACTGTGCGGGCCCGGGACCGGCCCGGTCCAGCGGTCCGGGATTGGGTGTTGACCCGAACCGGGGGGGGGGGGGGGGGGGGGCTAGGTTCCAATAAAAGGTGACCCGGCCCGGTCGGGTTGGGTCCGAGTCACAACAGCTATTTTTTTTTTTTTTGGGGCAAAAGAGCCGTTTGGCTGGGCACCCACTTCCCAAACGGCTATATAGCCGTTGGGTGGGTTGTGTGTGGGGGGGGGGGGGTCCGGGCCTTTTGGGGGGAGGGGGGAGGGTGGGGGGTGATGTGGGGTAAAAAAAACTTTAAGTACTCCTAATTATAAACATTTTTCTATATCTCTTCTCCAACTCTTCTTAAATCTTACTCTCTAATCATCTCCATCTTCATCTGGGCGTATTACTATTTGTTCTGACATATGGGAGGATGATTTTCATCATTTAAATTATTTGGGCCTGACTGCACATTATATTGATGGAGATTGGAATATGCACAAATGTGTTCTTGCTTTTCGTAAATTTAATGATTGTCACACCGCTGAACATATTTATATTTTGATTGAGCGTATTTTAATTGAGTATAATTCGATTGATAAGATGTTTGCTATTGGTTTCAATAATGCTACTAATAATACTGTTGCTATACCTAGATTGCGTGAATTGTGTGGTGCCAATACTTTGATGAGTAAATTTTTTCATCAACGGTGTGCATGCCATGTTACAAATTTATATGTGCAAGACGGTCTAAAAGCGTTGGGAGATACTATGGAGGTAGTCGGGGGGGGGGGGGGGGGGGGTAGACGTATTTGGGGTAGTGGCCAACTTAAATTAAAATGACAAAATTATTTAACTGAAAGAGGTGTGAGATATGTTGCTTTTCCTAAAGATGTGGCTATTCGTTGGAATAGTACTTATAAATTACTTAAAGTTGTTCTTAGATATAAAGACCATTTTCCTGTTTTTTAAAACAACATGATAACTATATTATAAACTCGGCTGAGATCGACACTTGTAAAAGAATTTGTAATGTTTTGATATTGTTGAGTTTAATCCAACTCGATATAGTAAATATATGTATAAATATGTATGAACAAGCTCTTTTTACGTGGAAACCCGAATGGGAGAAAACCACGGGACTTTTTAGGCTAATGTCCAAGTCCTCTCATTCTCATTAATCTCTCCTCACCATTACAAGGTACAAGGTATTGAACTCCCATTCATGGAGTATTGTAAGCTAGCTAGAGAGAAGGAAGAACAATAAGCCAAGGAAAAAAGCCTCCCTAAACATGTGGGAAAGCCCTATATTTATAGGGGAAAGGGAGTAGGGTAAAACCTACCCTAA